ATAAACAAGTGTGGGGGTTTCGGCTTATTTCTACCCGCACTCTAACCAAGTGCAAAAATTTATACCCACTTTGTTAAAGAGTGCGTAAAACTACCCAAACTCTAGGGTTTCGGCTTATTTCTACCCGCACTCTAACCAAGTGCNAAAATTTCTATCCACTTTGTCAAANAGTGCNTAAAACTACCCAAACTCTTTATAATTTATATTTTCGTACCCAAACTAATTAAATTAAGTGTATTTATACCTCAGNGATTCGGTGTTAAATTCTCCGTTGACGGTGCTGACTAGGCATCTTATTCACGAAAACAGAGTTTATGACTCAGATTTATGTTTTTTTTTTTTAAATATTAAACGACGTCGTTTCATGTTTTGTTTAGGAAAAAAAAATTTAATTATCTGGGAAGATTCCGGCTTGTATTTGTCAGTTACCGAAGCTTGAGAACTTTACTTTTAGTTACAATTTCTTTACCGGAGAAGTGCATGTGTGTCTTAGATTGCCGGAGTTTGATGATCGGAGAAATTGTTTGCCGGGAAGACCTGCTCAGAGGTCTCCAGGTCAATATAAAGCGTTCTTGTCTCCTCNTGCGGCAAATTGAGGATCNTTTAGTTGTNGTCGTTGTGTTTCGTTTCGTCCTCCGATTTTGATTTTTTTTTTTCCTAAACAAGAAATAAAACGACGTCGTTTCATATTTTTTTAAAAAAATTTAAACATAAATCTGAGTCATAAACTCTGTTTTCGTTTGGGTACGAAAATATGAATTATAAAGAGTTTGGGTAGTTTTACGCACTCTTTGACAAAGTGGGTAAAAATTTTTGCACTTAGTTTGAATGCAGGTAGAAATAAGCCGAAACCCCAGAGTTTGGGTAGTTTTACGCACTCTTTGACAAAGTGGATAGAAATTTTCGCATTTGGTTAGAGTGCGGGTAGAAATATACCGAAACCCCAACAAGTGTGTCGTGTCAGTGTTTGTCTATCTCCTTTAGGCCTTTTACGTACAGCGATGCAGGGCCCAATTATTCAATTTAAAAGCCCACTTGGCCCATACAATGTTTATATTTCCTTCCCAACTCCACAAGAATCAGATAGACACTCTGCAATATTACTACGTAACCCAAAATTAGGCGGTACATACATTGTAGTATATTCATCTTCTAATATTTCTTTCACCACAAGGAAGCCTACCGTGTATATATACACAGGCGAAAATGCAAAGGTATTTTCATTTATAAAGTGTAATTATAATTAACGAAGCAATGAAGACAACATGGAGTAAAGAGTTAGTGAAAATGCCGTGACCGGAAGCATGTAATACAAGATCTCTATGCACGTGATCTTCCCCCACTTTACAAGCTATCGCAAAAGTGAGTTTAAAACAACCCATTGTTTTCTTTCTTTATTGGGATTGAAACTATTTACAAGTTTCAACTTTTAACTTCATAACCAAAGGAGTGGTGGCGTATAGTAACGCAAGAGGTTGGTTCCCTTATGCCCCGAGTTCAAATTTTCTTTGGGATGAAGAGTTATTTTTTAAATCGGAATATCCAAAAATTCTCTCCGGGTACCGATGAGATTATGTTCAAAAAGTTTGGAACTCCCACGGTTAAAAAAAAAAAATTAACTTCATAATGAGTGGTCTTCTTCCACTCGATGTTGTTCCTCTCTTTTATGTGGTTAGACATAACCCACACACACGTGACCTATCATTGTCTTTGGGATCCATATGTTCCTTTTGCTTACCTCCACATAATTCTTGAGCTCTTGCTTTAATGCTTAAATTGTATGTTCGCTTTTGGTTCACATATGATATATTTCCATAATTTAGGGTACAAAATGTGGCTAATTATTTGTCAATGCTATTTACGGTCTCTAACGAAACTACATGAAGTATAGAAGGCAATGACACACCAGTTGTCTAGTTGATATCAATGACAAACATATAAACTAAT